TATTCTTGAAGTAGTGGCAGCCCTGAGGACACCAAATTATTATTATTGTTTGCCTTGTCTGTCTCTTTATACATCTGTAAGTCCCACACATCATTGCTGCCATTTCATAATTCCACTGAGCTAAATATAGATCAGAGCCTAGCTCTGCAGTCTTTTGTAGCAGATACTTCATTGTCACACTGGTTTTCACCAGCTGCTTGGATTGGGGATAATGGAGACTGACAAATTACCTGCTTAAACCCGTACTCCACTGCAAAATGCTTAGCTTTATGCCCACTAAATTGTAGCCTATGATTACGCATTGTTATGTCAGATACGTTATGTGTAGCAACAACTGATTACCTGTAGCTATTGCTGCGTGTAGCTATAGCTGTAAATAAGGCTATTTTAAGCAAGTGAGAATAATAATATAGGATAAATACATAAACCTATCTATGCCTACTTTGCTACACAGCTTATATTTTCTGTCACCAACATGAGCTATTTTGCTCAATTCGGCCTGCATGTTTGGCACATGCAACAAGCCTTTCCAGCTTCCTGAATGTCACTGTTCATTTGAGGCCAGTGTGAAATGTCTTTGGCCCATCTGAGATTTTCCAGTCCCCAAATAACCTTTGTATGTCCTCACCATACTTTTCTATAACCCTTTTGGGGCTTTCTGCAACTGCATTTTTTCTTTCTATTTTCTGTATTTTAGTTACAATACCTTTGTGAATATCGCCCTCCCCTTCCAGCCAAGGCCTCACCCCTTCTGGAAGCAGAGAGCCAGGCTCCCGCACACACATTGCTCAGCGGCCCAGAGAGCCTGTCGGCTTCTGCTTGTACTTGTGCTATGCTCAAACACTGAGGTTTAGTCTGCACACAAAAGTTAGGCTGGCACAGCTATGCCCGTCAGGTGTCTTTTTTCACTAACCTTACCCCATGCCTCCATGAAGCAATCCACATTTCAAGGCCAGTTGAATAACAGTATGGATTTTACAGCATTTAGAGATGTCCTTTAAACAGAAAGGGCTTTTCAACCTTACCTACAGGGGAGTGTCCAAGACAACGTTTCTTTCAAAGACTGTACACTACCTCCAATCTAAGAAAAAGATTCAGGGGTAGCCGAGTTAGTCTGTACAGGATAAACATAAAAAACAACAAATGGTTTGGTAGCACTTTATAGACTAACAAAACATGTAGATGAGATCATGAGCTTTCGTGGGCACAGCCCACTTCTTCACATGACATTCCTGGATGTGCAGTTAAATGAACCTCTGATTTGGTTCATTTCAGAGGTTCATTTAACTGCACATCCAGGAATGTAATCCATGCCCTCAAATGCCAGCAATGCCCCACTGAAATATATAGGACAAACTGGACAGTCCCTACGGGAAACAATTAATGGACACAAATCAGATATCCGTAAAGGGAACATACAAAAACCTGTTGGGGGACACTTCAGTCTACCAGCGCATTCATTAACAGATCTTCAAGTGGCTGTTTTGTTACAGACCAATTCCACAAGCCAAATACACAGGGAAGGACTGGAACTCCAATTCATTCACAAGTTGGATACTCATGTAATGGATTAAATAAAGATACCAGATGGCTGGGACATTATCAATCCACCAAACAATAAAGGTGCCAATGATTCTTTGGCTGTATAGTATCTGGTGTTAGTACTCTTCCTCTCTATTGCCTACTAATGGTTCTTATCTGCCTCTTTTGACTATCCAGTCTTTAAGTGTTTATAGACTATTTGTTTTCCTGTTACATTCCAGCTCAGCTTTCCCCTTGATATTTTTTATACCCACTACCTCTTCTTGTTTCCCAGCCTCCCTCCCCTGTTTATTTTAGTTCTGGACATCCAACAATCTGGTCATCTGAAGGAGTGGGTTGTGCCCATGAAAGCTCATGATCCCATCTACATGTTTTGTTAGTCTCTAAAGTGCTACCAGACCATTTATTGTTTTTTATGTTTATCCTTAGAAAAAGAATTTGTTCATAAAAGTGTCACCTGGTGGCTCCCAGCATAACAATACTGGAAATCAATCTACAGTTGTAACTCTCTTAGCCACTGAGAGACTGGCCCAATGTCACTCATCTCGGGTGACATTCATGCACGCCAGCCATACATCGTGCCTTCCAGCGGACCCCACTGACTGCATTCAGCGGGGCTGAGAAATAACTTGCAGTTGCAGTTCATGGCCACCAGAAGCCACCATGGAGCTTGCTGAGCTGATGGACAGGTGGTCTCTGTTTCCCCTTCAACTTTGCATCCTTGCTTACTCACTGAAGTGAGCTATCATTGACACCCCTCCCCCCCCGAGGAAAATGGTGGCAGAATGTACAGTATTGTCCCTAGTCACCGTACAGATCCCCTTAAAAAGCCACCTAGATGCCTTGACCCTTCTTGAGCATCCAACCCTCCTTCCCCAGGCCGAACTCACCATGTTTAGAGTGTTTCACCCAGGAGCACGCTTGCCAAAGGACAGTGAGAAAGCGATTTGCAGATGTTAAAAGGTATATTTTACTGTAATGATTCAATGTGTGTGTGGACTAACAAAACCATGCTTCTGTTTCTTGTACTTCTGCAGATGCGGCCTTCAGGGGATCCCCCTACACATGGCTGCAGCATCTCTAGCAGATAAGGAAGTGTTAGAGCAAGGAGTGCATGTTCTGAGAGGTGTTCCAGTTCTCAGAGGCTGAAAAAAGAGAATGCCTGGAGCGCAGAAAGACCCCGAAGGAAAGGGTTTAAAATAGGCAGTTCAGAAAGAGAGCGAGGAGAGCGTTGTAAAGGGCCAGGAGCAGATGATAAAAGTGATGGAGGAACAAACAGTGATGTTGAAGTCCCTAATCAAGCTCAAGGCAGAACACTTGCATGCTCACTCCCAGCCCCTACGCAATACAAAACTGCTTTCCATGTCTTCCCCAAACTCCTCCCGCACATTCCTTGCAGCTCTCCAGAATGTCTTGGTACCCACTCACTCCAACCCTCCAGCCAGCTTCCAAAACGATAGCTTGACTTATGGAAGTTTACACTTCCCTGCACTCTTACCTCCATTCCCACTAAGCCTTCTCGCTGTGTTAATATTAGAACTTAAAAAAGAGCTCTCTGAAAGATAACCAGACTTTGTCTCCCACACATGGTGATTGCTGCTGACAGTAGTACATAGTAGCGATCTGATCGTTTGCTGGCTACAAATCCCAGTCAGGAATAATTTTTTCATGCTGTGCTGGGCAAACTCCTCACAAAGTTTCAGAAAGACATTTTTCCACCGTGGCACAGGAACTAATTTTGGGGTCAGAGTGATGATGTGCACCTCCTCTTTAGACCTATTGAGATCAGGTTGCCAACTCTCCCAGACTGGACGGCTCAGACTCCATTGATGCAAATGGTGTTTGGTCCATCCAGTCTGGAAGAGTTGGCAACCCTCACCGCTCCAGGCTGGGGCTACAGAGACATCAGACAGTGGGACCCCAAGGACCGGCAGCGTTCACAAGGCTGGTGGCTGACAGGATCCCAGGGGCTGTCAAGGCTGGCAGGACCCTGGGGGCCCAGCAAAGCTCATGGCAGAAGGAACCCAGGGAGCCAGCAAAGCGCATGGGGGGCTGGCAGGATCCTGCGGGGCAATCCAGAGGCCAGGAACCAGAGCTGGTGAAGCCAGAAGTGGAGATGGCCCCCAGGCATGGGGACACCAGGTAAAAAAACTGGAGGTGTTGCAGCAGCTCCCACATCTTTCCTGTGCCTATGGCTTTCCACAGGTCAGAGTTCTGCAGCCACTGCTCATCATCCCAGACCTCATGTGATCACACCACTCAGTGTTTGTTTCCTGAAACAAGCCTAAATCCGAGGAGCCACCATGTTCAACTGCTCTCTGGATGCCAAAAGTAATCCAGTGGTGTTCCCTTCCATGATATACTGCACGGCCCTCCACAATGTGTCATGACAACGACCATAACAGCAGTGAGCAGCACGGGATCCATCCTTTCAAACAGAGACGGTGGGCACACAGAAAGCAAGGGCCATTGAAAAAAAGCTGCTAAATGCAGTCAGAAGCCCATGGAATGATGGGACGGAAAACTGCATTATGGGACATTGATGGTGTGCTGCAATATGCTCCCCCTTTCCCCAATTCCTAGCTGCTGATGGTGGTGAGTAGCACAGTGGGAAAACTACTCACGGTGCAGCATTCTCACTGACCATGCTGGAGCACCTACCAAGTGTGCATGTGCTCTGCCAACAGAAGCACTATGTGAATGTGAACATGCACAGAAAATATAATTATACAGGTTTTTTAATCAATTATGTAATTTGCATCAACAAAAAATTGCATAGTGTAGATAAGCCCATAGGGCACATCTACACAGCAGCATTATTTTGGAATAACTGACGTTATTTCAAAATAACAAAACATGCATCTACACTGCAAGCCATTATTTCAAAATAATGTCGAGCTGGAGGACTTCTTACTCGGACTCTGAATAACCCTCATTTCACAAGGAGTAAGGGAAGTGGTAAGAAGAGTGTTCTTCCTTTAGCTTCCTGCAGTGTAGACAGTGCCAAAAGCCGAGTTAAGCTATTTTGACTTCAGCTATGCAACTGATGTAGCTGAAGTTGTGCAGCTCAATTCAACTTTAGCCCTGCTATGTAGACATGCCCTTAGTGTCTATTACTGGAGTTAACAGCTACAGGATCAGTGGATACAGTAATAAGTGGGCCACTAAAAGACACCATCTGATATGGACAATAAGAGTCAAGTTCTAAAGGTGCAGGAATAAGGAGTTTTACTGGAGGATTCCAAGGAAGCTTGAAACAGTTACAATACAGAACGCTAGGAAACTCAGAAAATGTAATTGTGCATTTCTCTAATCACCCATTGCTGAAGAAATGAGTCAGCTCTATTGTTTTCTTTATTAACTATCACCCCAGCAGTGACACTGTTAATAAATGCAGTGGATGGATGTCTCTGTAAGCTGAGCCGTGTGGTCACATTGCTCAGTGTGCTGGTTTTATTTTTAACATCCAAAAGCACTGGATAGATCTTCCTACTTGGGCTTGCTCTTTCTCCCTGCATTCTCGTCTCCTGCTTAGCCCTAATCACCTCACCTCAGCCCCACTGAGCAAAACCAGGAGAACCAGTGTCTTGGACACAATCACAGCGACTGCATGATCAAGGTAAGGCTTTGCAAACAAGAAACAGTCTTTTTTGTTAATCAAAACTTATGCTACTCCTACACAGCCAAGCCTATATCAAGGCTGAAATCCACAAGACAGTCTCAGGGTCTGAGTACCAAAACAAAGAAAAAACCCTCACAGCCACATGTTACAAAAGGGTTCACTAACACCAGGTGGCCCACTTTGGGCATGCTTTCCTTTGAGGCACTTTGGGCTAGATCCACAAAGTCTAGGCACTGCAAAGCTCAGTGGTGCTAAGACTTTTGGATAACCTGCCGGCCAGTGAACTCCACACCCTGCATTAAGGGCAAAGAACAGTTAGGTTCACAGAAATCAGCAAACTGAGTGGGGAGCTACATCAGGCAGACAGTAGGAAATGCTGAGGAGAGGGGTTAGGTCTAACCAGTCTTTAGGTGCCTATCTCTGCTCAGGATTCACAACCATGAACCCTCTCCTGAAGCTAGGCGTCTTAGCCAGTACATCCCTGTCTCAAGAGTAACTAGACCCCTGTGCTACCACCACCAGAAGCCCAGTGCTTAATGCACTCACACCCTAGTTTCAAATATTTGCTTTACTTGATTTGGAGCAGAGTTGAACTTAGGTTTCTGATACCTTCAGTGAGTGCCCAGGCCACTCGGCGTTCTGAGGTGCTAGACTCTCACTATCTCCTGTTCAAGCTGTTCCACTTTGCATAAATAATTTAATATTAATTGGAGCTTAAGTCTCCTATGTCCTATGTGAGCACCTTAAGCCTGAGCTTTTGGGTAGTGTAGGACACACACATGCTCACCATATTTCTGATCTAGCTACCTCAAGATATCTTTGGTGTGGGGCTTAAACCAGTAAGAATGTTCTGAGACCCACCTGTGGAAATGTAGGCACTCAGGGAACTTTACTGTAGCTAAGGTAGCACGTAGGGAATTTAGATGCCTCCCAGATGAAATGTAGGTGCCTCCAAATGTAGGTGGCAGCTGAGCAGGATGATGGGGATCTCCGAGTGCCTAAATGTTAGATGTAGGCATCCCTTTGTGGATCTAGCCCTTTGTGCCTGATTTCTTATCATCTCTGCATAGTCAGGTATGAGATGTTTTAAGATGGATACCACATAACAGTGGCAGTATGAGTGAACATTTCTGAAAACGATGGTCCTGTGCGTGATTGGTTTCTTCTCATAAGCTGTAGAAATGTTGACTACTTTTTGTTGCAAGGGGATGTGGATTGCAACTGCTTTAAACACTAAGGAGACGGGATCACCACATAGGAGTGTAAAGGGTTTGTTTATTCAACTAAAACTGGGAAGGGAGGGGAATCTCACTCATACACTCAATCACACTTACAGTCCCAGGTGGGATGATAAGGCGAGCAGAAGGCAGTTCATATTGTTTGATCTTACCAAGTTGACTCCTACGCTGGTCCACTGGCCGGGCGATCCGAGCAGAGGGCGTTCTGGGAGGCTCCACTTGATGGTCAACCACTACTGTGTGTCTGTCCCTCTCTCCTTTAAGGATCAGCCACATGCAGCCTCTGAGTCTGGGCCTCTTGGGGCCGTATGCACTCCCTGCTGGGGCCGTGTGCATTGTTGTTTACTCCTGCTGTTTACCTCAGACATTATTCTGCACTCACTCAGGGAAGGGATAGGGGGTTAACAGACAACACTCCAACAGTTTAGGGAACCAAATAACATTAACAGGAGAGAAAGAACAACCACCATTTTAACTCTCTCCTTGCTCCTCCTTTGCCTCCAACACTTTTAAGGGATCAGAACAATTGCACAATTTCTTGAGATGTGCGAGGTAAGTGATGCGTGTGAGACAGAACACTCTCCTTTTTAAAGGGTCAGATTCTGAATTCAGCTTCCTTGGTGTACATTGAGATTACCTCAGTTTAAATCAGTAGAGTCACAACACTGATTGAGATTTTTGTAAAAGCCAAGTTTTCTGTATGCTGGCATCTTCATCACGAGCTTGCAGGAGAAGAGTAAGGTAGACATTTCAAACACTGTAATTTTCAAATGGTTTTTAAAAGGAATTTTAGAAAACATCCAGATATACGAGGCACTGGGGAAGCATCAGGAATATTATTTATGTTGTGTATTAGTGCAGTGCTTAGGAGTGGCCCAAGACCCCACTGTGCTGTGCTCTGTACACCCAGAACAGAATGATGGACCATGGACCAAAGCACTCGCAGTCCAAGTGTGCTGACTGATGGTGTAGTGCAAAGAAAGTGAGATAATAGTTTTTAAATAGACCAGATAGACACAGGATGAGAGAAGGGTCTAAACCACAAGTAGAGTGAGCAATGTGATGGCAGCAAAGAGCATGCCTGTTCCATGATTTTGGGGGGATGGGGCAGTATTATTTAGGAAGGGCTCAGCTAAATAGGGAGGGAAAGGTGTGGAGTGAAACCTACCGGTATCTTTTTCTTTGCTTTTGACAGACATTGTTAGAGGATTAAGTGGACAAAGAGAAGCAGCCTTTGACAGAATAAATTCACATGCTGGTTTTGCATGAAGCAAGTATTTGGAAAAAAAGATGGTGAAAAGGAAGGAGTCTGGCCAACAGACTGTTAAAGATGACATTTCAGTTGCTATTATTATGGCTGTTGTAGTAAAAACCATTTCCCACTGCTTGAAGGGTCAGCTCTTTGATAACTGTGAAGCCTGTGTGATAGATGAACCCAGTCAACACCACCATGATTGTATGTGGTAAAGGCATGCAGAAATGTGCAACCGGATGAGATGCATTTCCTCTAACTTGCATGGAGCACGGATCCTAAATATATTTGTGGCCTCAGGCTATAAACTGCAGGGTTTTGACAACTGAAACTGTAACTGAGATTGTCAATATGATCTGAGAGGCAGAAGCTTCTGTAAATCTGTTGTCTTTGCTGGGAGATATTCGGAACAAGGTGCCCCAGAAAATTGGCCAGATTGTATATTGGAGGGTTTGTTAAATATGTTAACACTTTTTACATGCAAGAACCTCACACTAAGGGGCCAAAAAGAATAAAACTCAATATTGATAGCATGCAAACAGCCTACATTTCATAAACAAGAAAATAAATGTGTATAGTTGCTTCATATATTACTCTGCTTTTAAGAATATAATGTGAAATATGCTGGTTTGCTCTATATTATATAGAGCAGCAACAAAACCCAAGTCTGCTTTTTTACATATACTTAAGTCTTAGAGTAAGAAAATGTATTACTGTCCTGGGGAGGTTGAGAGTTTTGGGGATGCAACCACTTTATTTCAGGCTAAAAATGTGGTAAAATGGAATACGGCTGAAGCGGTGCTGGTGAAGCATGTTGAAAGCAGTTTAATAAGGACTGTTTTAAAATATAATGGCCACAAGCTTTTTTGAAGATAGATACCCTCACATGATCTAATCACAAGGAGCTTTTGTTAAGGGATATCAGGAAATCTTTGCAGATGAAATATTTATTGTGTCTGAGGTTTCACCAGGATGGTGTACACACTAACTAAAAGATAACAGAGAAGAGGAAATCACAGGGCCTTTTGTCTCTGAAAAATTACAAAAAGTAAACCCTAAACAGGACCATGTGTATAGAGTAGAAAAGATTCAAGCAAAAAGAGGATGGGTGAGAAACAAGTATTTTCTAGTGAAACAGAGGATGGACTGAAAAATTTAACAGTTGAGTTGAAGCATTTCCAGTTCAAAACTTCTGATAAGGGGAAAAGTGGCTGAACAGGGTTTTATGTCACCGTACCTAGCAATGCATCTGTGGCAGCTTTTCCTCAAAATTCTAGTTCAAAATTTACAAAACAGCAGTCTAAAGTAATCCCAATCTCCTCATAATTGGGATGTTGCTTTATCTAAAATTCATTATGGTCACTCATAGAACACAATCTCTCATGATTTACAAGTCACGATAGCACCAAAAATAGAGAAAGTACTGCCATGTAGAAGCAGGTTACTACTTAAACATTCAGCATTTGGTAGATAACATTAACAAAATCATCAGCAATGATCCGAAGAGACCAGACGTCAGAATCATTTAGGATGCATGATAAGAATGGTTCACGTAAAACCAAAAACAAACAAATGTGTGTGCGGAAGGGGAAGCGGGAGGGAATTGGAAACAGTGGATGTAATCCAGAATCAGAGTTGCAAGGTAGTCTTGTAATCTGCGGACATTACATGGTTTAATTCTTTATACATACAGATGTAGTGGAACACCAGTTACGCTATGTCTACACTACAAGGTTATTTCATTTCAAAATAGGTTTATTCTTCTTCACAATCAGGAGTTATTATTTTAAAATAATAGGCTTCATAATGTACATGCTCACCTCATTATTTCAAAATAAGGGGAATTATTTTAAAATAATTCCGTAGTGTAGACATGCCCCTAGTGAGAGACTATTATGTGCCACTGTAGCTATAACTACTCAAGAGAGAGATCGTGGAGTCATTGTGGAAAACATTCTCTGACTGTGCACCAGCAGTCAAAAAAGCAAATATAACCACCACCAAGGTGGATTTGAACCTGGGTAGACTACGTATAGACTGCCATGATTTTCCACAAATGCTTTTAATGGAAAAGTTTTTCCGTTAAAAGCATTTGCAGAAAAGAGCGTCTAGATTGGCAGGGACGCTTTTCTGCAAAAGTGCTTTTTGCGGAAAAGCGTCCCTGCCAATCTGGACCGCTTTTGCACAAGAAAGCCTCAATCACCATTTTCGTCATCAGGGCTTTTTTGTACAAAACAGTTTTTAGCTGTCTACACTGGCCCTCTTCTGCAAAAACATTTCCAAAAAAGGGCTTTTGCCCGAATGGGAACGTCAAAGCATTTGCACAAGAAGCACTGATTTCGGACAGTAGAACGTCAGTGCTTTTGCGCAAAATCAAGCAGCCAGAGTAGACAGCTGGCAAGTTTTTGCGCAAAATCGGCTGCTTTTGTGGAAAAACTTGCCAGTCTAGATGCAGCAAGGTGTGTGGGTTACACAAACAGAATGGAAACAATTTAAAAAGGGATAGA